AATGAACATCATATACAGACCCTGATGATTTAGAATTGACAACTTCAAAATGGAATTTCATATACTTCCCACCCTTATCCCCAGCAAAAAGGAGCCATACCTCTTCGCAAAAACCGACATCAGAATTGAAGTGGTCACGAACGTGCAGACTATTGAAAACCTCTTCAATATAAGTTATCAAATTCTTGACCATCAATACAGAAACTAAACAAGATGCTTAATTCGCAGATGGATAAAGCAACATGGACTTTACAGTAACATGTTCTTTACTAACATGCATTGTCCGCATTTCTTGTTCTTGTCTTATCTTGGGCTCAGATGGGAGAATCCTTGCACCAAGATTACACAGAATACGTCTTAGCCTACGGAATTTAGCCGTGGGCATCCTTAATTGGCTCTGCAGCTCTACAGCATCAGAAACACTTAACTGCCTAACTAAACCCAACTTATTTACAACACAATGAAACATAGACTTTTCACAAGACACAGAATCACAAAACAACACAGACAAATCACTTTCCAAATCTGAACAAGCTAATAATCGAAGTAATATAAAAACAAGTTTAGATCGTCTAGCTGCAGCATGCCTACCTAACTTAGAATAAGATTTACCATCTCCTAACTTAATGTAAGTATATTTCTTACCAACTATTGTATATTTCTTACCAACTATTGGCTTTTTAACTGATATAGTCTGTGGATTACTTAATTTAAACCCACAGAATAATTCAGAGGAGCCAATGTTGTCATAGTCTAAATAAGAATCAACGACAACTAAATCCTTATCACTGCTAGCAAAATATTTGCAAATTTGGCAACTGTTCTTGTTTATATCACTGATTTTTGCATTTTTTTTTTTCAAATTTAAATTTTTTTAGCAATCTTACATTTTTGGCACGAGCAGATGCAAATTTACGGTGTGCTGCTTTTAATTTTTTTTTTTTAAAAGTTGGAACTGCTCCTCCTGTTTTAGCCTAATACTCATAGTCTCTAATTGAGAACTTAATGAGTTACAATGTGCGTTGAGAGCCTTGTTTTTAGAATTTAAATATATAACTTCAGTTTCCAACTTTGATACCTGTATTTTTAAATTATCTATTTGCTCCACATTATTTTTTTCTTTAGAAATTAATTGTTCAACTTGACTACTTAGTTCCTTATTCCTATTTAAAATATAAAAATTATCTGCATCTGCTGATTTTTTTTGTTTTTTTGTTTGTGGAGCTGGAGACAGTTGCATTTTAAAAAATGCTTCGTTTTTTGAAGCTTCAAAATACTTTTTAGAATCTTTTTTTCTTTGTTTTATTTTTCGGCACATTTTATTTAACACATCAATATTAGGCATATTAAACTCAATTGGCAAAAGAAAACTTAAAAAAGTAAACAACGCTTTTGGATGAAAAACTGTTAATAAAATTGAAATCACATTGTTAGTGATCTTACTAGTTTCAATTACTCGCTTTACAAAATTAAAGTTATACTCATTTTCCCAACCATCTTCCCAACCGATGTACAGTTTCAAAATTTCCCTCTCAGTTGCATACATCACATAAATAATGATAATGATATTATAATAATAATATAATAAAAGAAATAAAATAAAATAATATTTACAAATAAATACACTAAAAATAAAAGAATTAAGCAACTTATCTGAGATTAGTCGAATATCCACGAGGAAATAATCCACGAAACTTTGCTTTATAATCTTTATTGATATAGTAATAAAATTATAATACAAACAACTTAAATAGAATAATATTGACAAATAGATGCACTAGATAAAATCGGATTAATCAACTTATCTGAAATTAGTCAAATATCCAAGAGAAATTAATCCGCGAAACTTTGTTATTTATTCTATAAAATGTGTCTCGTTTGTTTTGTTTGTTTTCTTAAAATGCATCCGATAATCGTTGGGGACGTAACGATCAGAGTTTGCGTCACCGCTTTAAAATGTAAACAAGAATTTATGCAAAAAAAACTAAAAAAAATGTCGCTAAACATGCCAAGTTTGAAAACATATTTGATAACATAGCTAGAGGTACAGAAAATAATTTTTTGATTTTCTTATTCATATAAGGTTGAAGTATTACTAAATCCACAGACTTTTCAAAAATGTTATGTTTTTTATTCAAAACGAATAAAAACAAAAATATAAATGCATTAAAAACTAACTTTCTATATAAAAACTTGCAAAGTCTGTGGAAATCTAGATAGAACAGACATTCATTAATAACTGTTCTAAATTTCAACCATCGACCATGTAGCTATGTTATCAAATCTTAGTTGGCCTAAGACAGGTTTTGCGTAAAAATCGCAAAAATCAGAAAAGTGATGCCAAATTATTAACAATATTTTTACAGCTTTCATTTTTATTCCGTTTAATGTAAATGTTTATTTAACAAGGAAAGATAGATCTTTTATATTTTTTTTATTTGAAGATGAAAGCATTTTTAGAAAAAAAATACTATTATTTTAAAGTTAATGAATTTTTATACTTTTTATGCGGAAATACTTTTTTTTTTGATAAACTCGTGACGTCAGGCTCGCTTTTATATTGAGTGAAACAGCCGTGACGTCTTTTTTCACGTCAGAAACACGCAATTCGTATTATTAACTTTTCCGATCGTTTTACTCATTCAAAAAAAAACAACCTTTATTTAACGAAATGAGAATACTTAATATTTACGAAGTGAATTTATATAATACTCTATGTTTTGTATATGTGTGGAAAAATAACTTATCTCCTGACGTTTTTAAAAATATTTTTACTTTGAAATCAGACAATAAGTATGCACTGAGAAATAATAATTTGCTAAATCAAGTTTTATGTCGAACCAAGTTTAATCAGCTTTGTATTGATTATCGTGCACCTAATCTTTGGAATAAAGTTATTTTGCAAAATTTTGATCTACCTTCCTCTTTTTCTATTTTCAAAACTAAGCTTAAAAATCTAATTCTTTCTATGGAGAACGTTTTTCTATATTACTAGTGTTATGGGTTTGTCTACCTATTATTAAAACTAAGTTTACCTAAGTATATAGTTACATTGAGATTGTACTGAAACTGATAGCTATGAATAGATGTATAAATATTTATTATTTGAGTTCGTATTGTATATTGCTTTATATTATATATTGCTAGTATGTATAAATTTTCAGGTTTATTTTATCTTTTATTTAGTATTTGAAAAAACAAAAAAATTTTATTACGGTTTTTACAACACAATTTTGTAAAAATAAAAAAATAAAAAATAAAAAAAAATAAAAAAAAAGAAATGAAAAAAGAAAAAATAAATTAAAAAAAAATAAATAAATAAAATCAATAAATTATGTATAAATGCGTATGTGTGTATGTATGTATTTATGTATGTATATTGGTATATATATGGGTGTATATGTGCTTTTAGTATGGGTGTGTGTGTGCTTGCAGTCTATGTATATTCAAAAAAAAAAAAAAAGGATAATGCTGCATACCCTGCATACCCTCTGGCGTAGGAACACCCAACTATAACTGCTTGGCAATCGTTGGGCTGGATTGGGATTTGGCGATACCACCTATGATCGCTTGTATGGTAAAGATGCAAACACAATATATACTTAAAAAAAAAAACTATATTAGAACAAGAGCTAATTATCAACAAGAATGTCCCACTATGATTTTATTTTCTACAATTTTAATGCAAGAAATGTTCAATTCAATTATTTATTTTTTTTAATCTATTCGATTTATATTAACATCACTAACACACTATGACGTCATCAAACACATCGATAATTATACTGAAGTATATTGTTTTTAACTATTCTATGAAACGGTTTATATAATTATTTATCGGATCTATCAAGGAAGCTCACAACAAATTGCGACGTCAAAAGTTAAGGGCTAAAAAATTAGGAAAAATGACAAAACCATAGAAAAAGAAGGCAAAGCATATGAAACAGGAGGTTTTTGATTTCAATTAGAGTGTTGTATGTTATATTTGGTATGTTAGTAGATTATTTTTTTTTTTTTACTTTTTGCGCGTTTTTTGAGTTCAAGGTTTTTCAATATGCCGACCGCAATTACAAGAGATCCATCTGGGCTTTTTGTCTGAAATTTTCAGCACATCTTTATTTCAATAAGAGCTGTGTTTTAAGTGGAACAGAATTTGAACAAATCAAGTAAAAAACCAGCATGGCTAACTTATATTTTAATAAAATTATCTTTTTTCTGATATCAACTTTGGTGGAGAGGTCCTCAGACCGAAAACTTTTTTTAAAAAATCTTTTCCATTTAAAACACTGATGCACCTATTCTAAATGTGTTACCAAAGTTTCGCTTTGCCTTTTTTATTAGTTTTTGCTAAATCTTGGCCGGCGCAAATCTTATTTTCTGCTTATTTTTAGGTTTTTTTTGGGTATATGCAATACCCGTTGACCGAACTTTTTATTTTTGTAAAATTTCTGTTTTTATCAGAATGTTGTTAGATTATTTCAAAAATTTTTAATAATGGGGGGTGATATCCCTTAACTTAAACTGGTTATATTATTTTACGTTAGTAATTTTTTTTGTTTTTGTTTAGGTTGTCCATAAAGTACGAACGCTTTTTTATCGCCAACCCCCCCCCCTCCTTCGCAATTTGCCGTACGCTTTTTTAAGTACTCTCTACCTCCCTAAAAGTACCTACGCTTTTAACCTACTAAACCAACATTTTATGATATTTTTTTAAATTTAGTATTTATAATCGACCTACTGCCCCCTTATCTCAGAAACGCCATTTGCAGACCTCCTCTTCCTCTCCGAGCGCACGTACTTTATGGACGATCCCTTATTATGTATATTTCTTTCCGTTAATATTTCTCTGTTAAAACTTATATTTTAGAACAGAAATTTTATAGAGAAATTATAAAATTTTAATAATTATCAGAGATTGAGGCACCCTTTTTTACCCGGGATAGAGGGGAAGGAGAGGGACTCTACGATTTTATTTATTTCAGTCAAAGTAATAAACGGAATAGGTAAAACATGTCTATTTAAGACAATCCTAAAGCTTTAAATTTCTCATAAAAAAATATATAGTTCATAATTTATATTTAAGAATCACTCGCATCTTCACTCATTTCTGAGTCATCACTCGATGTTTCAGATTCATGATCAACCTCTGATTCACAAAGTGAACAAGTGCATTCGAATAAATAATTTTCTCTAGAAATTTATCAAAATCAAAAAATATAAATTTAATTTTTTAAATGAGTTGCATTTAATGAAAAATACTCACCTTAGTAATTTTCTTCTAGAATGGCGACTTCTTGAACGTTGACATTCATCCAAATAACATACACATATTTCCTAAAAAAAAATAACATACACATATTTTCTAAAAAAAAAATAACATACACGTATTTCCTAAAAAAAAAAAAACATACACATACTTCCTAAAAAAATAACAAAAATGATTTTCGCTGAACACTAATTGAATAAAGAACAAAAACGAAATTAGGTGAAGGCAAAAGACCTCGTCTTTGGTAATGTCCTCCGTTGCTACCAATACCAAGGTGGAATTATTATATGGAAATGTTGCTTCAGCATTTGGATAACAGCTATGGTTACCTAAATACGCAGACTTTTTTAATAAAATATTCAACTATTAAAAATAACTATATTATTTACATTTTTTAAACTGCATGTTTAAATCAGGCTGCGTGTATCTCTGCCTATTTTAGGCCAAGGCCGGCATTCTGGTTGGTTTTTACCTCAAAGATTCAAAATCCTGGACATATTTTAGGTTTTAATAACATGAATAGTCAATTCATGATAATTAAATAAGAATTTTGAATCTTTGAGGTAGGAACCAGCCAGAATGCCGGCCTAACATAGGCAGAGATGTACGCAGAGGTATATACAGAGATATACGCAGCCTGATTCGCTGATATTAAAAGAGAGGCGTGAGCGTTTGTTAAAATTGAAATAAGTCAAAACAAATGTTGAAAAGTTGAAAAGCATTGAATAACAGAAGTGAAACGAAATAATTATATAAAAATCAAATAATAATAACAAAAAAGTTATGAATTTTCTGTTGAATTTTGTTTAATAAAGAACTCATACTTTTACAAAACTTTACAACTCATAAAAATCGTGTTTTTCAAAGTACAAAGCATCATCTTAAAAGTAAGGATTAAAAAAGTTTGTTTTCCTTATTATTTTTATATTTTCAATGCATAAAAAAGATAACAATTGTAACAAACTATACAACCAATGATGAAATTCGACTACGATGTAAATCCCTACGATAGTTATCTTAAATCAGTTTTATATTTTACCTAGTAATATTATTAGAATATTAATAAATTGCTATGATTTTTTTTATACTAAGCTCCCATAAATAATATAAAAAATATTTAAAAACTTAATAAAACATCGCTAAATTGCTTTCAAGAATTTACATCAACTATTCCCATATATAAATTTTAAGACTTTCAATTTTGAGAATATTGTTATAGCAAACCCGACTAGTTTGAAACATTATAGAATTGTAATCAAATGTAAGCAAGAGCTGATTAGGGTTGCCCTTGGTATTGTATCACAATAAATAGTTACAAAACATTTTAGCATAATAAATTATAACCTGTTAGACACAATTTTATTTTTATAGTAAATAAATTACCGAAAGGAATAACTGTTTATAATAAATGGTAAAAATCTTATAGCAACTGACAGTAATTAATATTAAATAAAGCAACAAAATTTGATAAATCTTATATTTATTATGTTATCATGTAAAATTAATTTACATTTAATACTTCTGAAAAACAAAAATAAAAATCTGTCTGCTCTAGAAAAATGGAGAAAATTTAAAATATATAGTATTCCATATTTCCAAATTTTATCTAAAGTTTCAATTTTTGGTAAAATCGATAAAATCAAGTGTGTTTTTTTTAAATTTCTGTAGATACCTCTTAGATAATAATATAGTAATAGAGATTTTTTTTTTTGAAGTAATGTAAAACGTAGTTTTGACGAAGTTTGTTTTACTTATTTAAGGCTTAAGGATGATTTTTTATTAGAGTTTAAATAAAATGATGTTTAACTAGATTTAATAAAAAAAGGTTTTGATGTACTGCCATGTAAGCTAGTTCAGTATAACATCATTACAAATTTTTGCAAGTTCATTGTATTGAACATAAATACATATTAAGTTTCTTTATTATAATAGGAAAAATTTCCTTCAAACCTTGCTCCTTAAAGTTGCAACGCCAGTTCAATACTGATAAGTTAAGTTTAATCTATTAAACTTAAAAACTTATTCTTCAAAATTTGTTTCTATATCATTTGTATAACTCTTTTGGAATTTTTTTTACTTCTCAAAGTTTGCTAATTATCAAACTACTGATTTTTCATTACAAATAGGCACCTATTTGTTATTTGGAAAAAATAACAAATAGGTGCCTATTTGTTATTTTTAAATTACACTAGCCATGTCACTGGAGAATATAGCATCTGTCAGCTTATTATGGG